ATGTGCTGGCAAAGGCAAGAGGATGGTGCAAAGGGGGGCAGAAACTCCTCTGCCATGAACCAGCTGCTCCAGTGGCAGGAAGGAGGAGGACTGTGGTGGAAGGAAATCTGGTTTGGTACTTGGAGAGTGTGCTTTGCTTGGTAACTCTGAGTGTGTCCTCTGGGACAACTCGAAGGGGTCGAGCATGGTGTTCCGCTCCATTAGCAATTCCTTTATGCCAGCACATGTAAATAATTATTCTGGCACAGGCTCCCAGCAGAGAGCTGTATGAAACCCTTCAGAGCCAGTGCAGCCCTGACCCCCAGCACAGCCTGTGCTGCTGCCTTTCATGGAGACCGGCACCAGGAGAGAGGAGATTTGTGTTCACACATGGACAGGCGGCAGGTCCTTTTATCAACTATGCTTTTGAAAATCAAACCTTCTGTGCAGGTGAAGTATAATTCCATGCGATCAAACTCTCTGCTTCCCCTCAAGAACTCATTGTGCAGCCCAGCCTTTTCCCTGAGATCTGACCCTCATGAGAGAAAGCTTAGGGTTAAAAAGATGGGAGAAATATGTACAGAAAAAAAAGAAGATAAAAGAAGTCCACATGACTTGATATTTTCTGTGAAAGGTTTTGCCCAAGATGGAGCATTCAGGCCAAAGCTACAAACCCCTGAGAACAGAAGTCACAAAACTGATGTGTCTCTGCATGGTACATCACGAAACAAATCTCTCACCCCAGGAATCTGCCTCTTTCCAAACTCCAACAGTGCCCTCAAGTGCTCAAAGGAGAAGCCGCAAGCCAGGGATGCAGCTTCCTACCACCCAGGCTGCAGCGCAGAGGAGACTAATGAACGTGAAGGGGAGAGATGTAGTTGCATGACCTCAAGCGTGGCTGACCGCTGTCCCTGCCTGAGCTACGGTGAAATGTCTGTGTCTTTTCCTACTTCTTTTCCTCGAATGGGCAGATCTGTGCTGATAGCCCATCTGTCACCAAGAGATGCTCCAAGAGCATGAGAAACAGATTTAATGTCTGTGTTGCCTGGAAAAGATGCACATGTCACAAGCTTGTGGAAACAGCAGAGTTTGAATTTGGCCACTGGAGTGATCCCACCCAGCCAGACCTCCTGGATCCATTCCTTCAGAAGACACAACCTCTAGAGAGGAGAGGAAGGCATCTCAATGTCCCAGCTCCAGAGGGGAGGTTGGGTTTCACCCCATCTGACTCCCCTGCCGTGAGCTTTCCAAGCTGTGTGGAGGCTGTTTTGGCAGAGCTATGCAGGGCTGTTCTCACTTCTTCAGTGAGCTGGGTGTCTCAGCAAGACGGGCTCTTTCAAGGAACAGGAGATAAGGTCTGTTTGGATCTGTGACACTTCTGCCTGTGAGAATGGTAGCTGGAGACATGGTACATGGTCACCTGCACTCCTTTGTGGGGGACACCGTGATTCCTTGCAGGATGCTGAACTCAAAACCAGCTCACCTTGCTCAAGTCTTTCCCTGTGGGTTCCTTGGAGAGTCACCTGGTAGAGCTTTGTCCTGCAGTCCTACACTTTGGGGAAAGGAAGCACTCAATGGTACAGGTCCACTCACCAGGACTTGCTGTACAAGAACTAAGATGTTTTCAAGGGACAACTGAATGTTACTGTGCCGGCAATTGACAAAGCTGCACTGGGAACCTCTTCAGGTCCCCTGCTTCCTCACCCTTTTTCATATTTAGGGAGACTTCTGGATTATGGCATAAGTTTGATTTACATGGCATGGACACAAATCCCATTGAGTTAAGCAGCAGAGGGCACAGAAACAGGGAGACGAGACAGGAACATTGGAGTCTGTTTTTGTGCCTGTAGCCAGAGTGTCATGGTGCCTCTGAGCACCTTACCCCAGCCTTTAGAGAATAGTCTGTGTGGCTTCTGTGAAGGCATGTGTGTTCTCTTCCATCGCTGCTCATCCTGTCACTGTCCTGTCAACTTCACACATCATCATCCATCCCCTCCAAGGCAGAAGACCACAGGTGCTCTTCCAGCAGGCTGCTGTCATCCCATTAGGCCCCTGTGAATCACAGACACCAACCAACAAACACCAATTTCAGTTCCAGAGCTGGTTTGAGCAAAGAGCCACCTCTTTATGACCTTTTGCTGCATTGTCTTGATCTGAGCAGGGACTCTCATCTTTTCTCTAATTTGAGCAACAAGCTGTTCCCACACATGCCTGCTCCAGGTGCTTGTAGGAAGTAGTATCACAATGCCAGACAGGCAGGCTCACAAACCTGTAGTGAAAACCTCACCCATTTCAGTGCCAGAGCAGCAAGTTGCTTGCATAAGAAACAATTCTCAAGGTATCAGAGACATCAGGACTCTGACATCAAGGATGGCCTTGCAGGAAAAGTCTTGCTTCTGCAGAGAAAGCATCTACTGCAACACAGAGTTCCTGATCTGCTGTGGCTCAGTGTGCCTCACACAGCATGAGAGGCCCTGCAGCAAGTGTAGATCTGACAGTGATGCAATGCCGCTTCCATCGTAGCAGTCACTGCTCTTCATCTCATCAATGCTCTTTGGCAAATGCCAGCCTCTCCCCCAGCAGCCTGGAGCAAGTCATTCTCACAGCTGGGGTGTCATCTCCAGGTCAGCTGCTTTCAGCAGCCATAGAGCAAGAGCCACTGGTGACTTCTCAAGCTATCACCTTGCTGTGATATCACTAGTGACTTCAAGGTATCACCTTGCTTTGATCACCAGCCTGGGGATAAAAAAAACCACATCTGGGTTCAGATCTCTCACAGGGATCTCTTCAATACATAGAATAGGAGCACTCAGGAGAAAACTCGTGGAGCAGCAATTGACAGCTGTAGTAAAGACAACTCAATGCAGGAGACTGGCAAAGGACCATAATCTGAGCAGGTCTCCATGAACCTCTCTCCACACCTCCACAAGAAAACAGCATGTCCTGCTTTTGTTGCATTCATCAAAAGTGACCTTGAAACTTGCTGCTGTGATTCTATTGTAACAGCAGAATAGCTGCTGTGCCACTCTCACCTGACAGGGTCACCAAGAGGCATTTCCCTGAAAGAGCACAGAGGCCGCAGAACAGGTCTCATCATGAAATTGTGGGTTTCTAATTAATACCCATTTGTCTGCAAGCTGACCTGCTTGACTATATGCCAGCCTCAGGATTTCATCTTCTTTCCTGAGGACAGGGCTTGGAATTGCCAGGACCCACAGTCCTAGGCCCTACTGCCTGCCTGCTGCTGGTCACAAGGTCACACACAGACCAGGATATCACTCTTCACACGTCTGCACGCTTATCTTGCAATTAACACTTATTTATGCAAATGAGTCCGTTCATTTGCTCTCCTCTGCAATCTATCAATAGATAGAGCACATAACGCCCTTTCAGGCCTGGGAATGTGAATGGAAACTACCTTGCTACTGCCTGGTGAGATAGCAGGGGTTGGGGTTTTTTTATTTTTCATACACATTTCAGCCAAAATCTTTCTGCTTCTCCAATGACACGAGTCAGATAAAACTCCCCCAGAGCTCTGTTAGAGCTGAGCAGAGAGGGACCAGCAGCTTTCAGGTGTGCAACCATACAGAGAGCAGAGAATGCCTGCTCATCTTTAGCACACGGGAGAGGGGGTCTCTCTGAGCCGGCCAGGGCACGGTCCCCATGCAGTTGTGGCTTAGTAAGGCCACCGGGAACACTCGGTGACCTTCGCTGCACTGGCTGCTGGTAGCAGAGCCTGTCCCACTCACTGGGGCCATCTGGAAGCTCTCAGAGCTGCTGAAAAAAATGCCGTCGGAGGCCCTTTGTGAGTCACGGGCTGGGTCAGGTTACCGACAGAGGGACAGGGAACAGAAACACAGCAAGTCTCCGGGAGGAGCAAGAAGCTCTCCTGCAACGGTAGAAATACAGATAGGGGTCTCAGAGAGGAACAAGGAGTACCTCTGGCAGAAATACAGGCTGGGGTCTTGGGGAGGAACAAGGAGCACCCCTGCTATGGCAGAAATATAGACTGGGGTCTTGGGAAGGAACAAGGAGCATCCCTGCTTTGACAGAAATATGGATCAGGGTCTTGTCACCCCACCCCAAGAGCAGGATGCCGGCACATGGGCTATGAGAACAGCTGGGTCCTACCCTGCATCCTGTTGTACACAGACTGACACACGGCTGACATGCACAAAACATGGGCAAGCATTCAACATCGGGGAGCTTCTTAGCTATCTGCATATCCTAGGGGCAGCTACACACCCCAGGGTCCCTGCGTGTGACACACACACCCTTCAGTACCCCAATTCTAGACCTGCTGCCCCAGGTGACCCTGGTGCCTCAGGTGTCCTCCCCAGCACTCCATGGTGAGATGCTGCCAGGAAGGCACAGGGAGCTGTGCCTGCAGCATGCAGAGGGAGCCAAAGGCTGGAAACTGGGCAAGCAGGTAATAAAGCAGATCAGGACCAACAGCCAGGGCTGTGTCCACCTTCCCCATGTCCTACAGCCAGCACCCCAAAGTACATTCAGAGTGTGTGCTGGAAGGTCCAGCACTGCCCAAGCATTCCCTTGGCCAGGCCAAGGGCAGGTGACCCTGAGGTAGACATGCCTCCTGCCACCTCAGCCCCACACGCCCCTCACTGCTGGCTGCTTGCCCACAGCCTGCACCCGGTCACGACTACCACCTCCCTCAGGGAATGAACCTCCGCTCTAACACAGGAAGGTGATGTTTTATTACAGAATCACATGCTTCAGAGACTGAGTCCAATCTATGATCTAACACCACCTTGTCAACTAGACCATGACACTAAGCACGATGTCCAGTGTTCCCTTAAATAGCTCCAGAAACAGTGACTCCACCGCCTCCTTGGGCAGCCCCTTCCAGAATCCGACGGCTGCAGAGTCGTGCGGGCACGAGGTGGGGGTGCGACAGCAGTCACCTTAGCCAGTGAGTCCCTCAGGGCTGCCCGGGGACGGGGTGCCAGTGTTACCGGTTTAAGGAGCTCCCAAAACACAGACACACCGTCTAGTTCAGAAAGGAGACATCGTTTGATCTGCACATGGTGTAAGGTGGAGGTTTCCACAAATCACGTACACAGAGGGGCGAAAAGCTGTATCTTTTATGCAGTAACATTCACACGAACCTGCCTGTCTAACACATATTCTCCGCCTACCTAATGCATATTTAATTTAGGTGATGTGACCTTGCGCAATGCTCGAAACAAAGTGTTACATTCTCCATTAAGCAACCTCTGTTGTAGAAGCTATCTGACTACATCAGTCACGTTACAAAAGATGAGAAAATTCAGCCAGGGGACATAAAATTCGACTGGAAGACAGCAGGACGGAGGCGGCGAGAGGCGCTGCCGCGGCCCTAAGATGGCGGCGCCGCGAGGGGGGAGCGGGCTGGACAGGGACGGCTGTTGTTAAAGCTTTGTTGTTAAAGCTTTACTGTTCCCGCTGCCGCCCCTGCCCGCCGTGTCCGCCGCGCCGTGCATAGTAAAGGTAAAACCATGGCGGAGCCGGCCGCGCCCGCTCGGCACCGGGGGGTCGGGGCGGCTCGGCTCCCCCCTGACGCCGCCTGGCTGTCCCGGCTGCAGCCACCGCTCGCTGCCCCGCCTCGGTGCCAGAGCCGCGGCGGGGATGGGGCGGTTCGCCTCATGCCGGGGTGCCGGGGGACGGGACGGGACGGGTGGGTGGGTGGCTCCCCCACCCGGCAGAGAGGGACCAGCCCCTACGGAGCCTCTCAGGCGGATGAGGGTGTTGAGGGGGGCCGAAGGATGCCTCTGTCTTCAGCCTGGCCGGGTGCGGGAACCCCCACACTCCAGCCATGTTAAATCGAAGTCAACCTTGTAGGAGCTCCTCGAGTGCCCATAAAACGCCGTCCTTCTCATTTTAAACACTCCCCGTGTCCCTTCTGCCATGGTTGCCTTGTGGCAGGGGCCTTTCCTTTTGAAACCTACACATAAAAGTTGTTTCCTCTGAAATTTTGTCTCTACCAGTCAGCCAAAGCCTGTCTGCTGGGTTCCATTACCCTCCAAAGGTGATATATTACCTGTGCATTAGGGTTGTGCCCCTGCTTAGGCAGCTGTGACCCTCCAGGAAGTTTTTTAAAGATATGCATGGGAGGAGTTTATCTTATTATTTGGTCACAGTAGATTCCTCTCCTTGCTTTGGACCACTAATCACATCTGTTCTTTGAGATGATCCATCAAGACTGACCCATCAAGAGACAAAGGAACAGTTCTTCACTAGACCAAAAGAATGAGGAGTCTCATTTGGTTTCCTCTGTGATCTCCAGCTCGATTGAGCTGCTGCAGGGGAGCAGGCAGAAGAGAGCCTCAGGGCTGTCCCTGTCCCAGGCCAGGTGAGATATGTTACAGAGGTGCTGTGGGGGGTCCTGACCAGGAGCCACCTCCATGCAGAGGGAGAAGCTGCAGTGAGGTGAGGCTTGGGGGCAGTTTCCTCTACTGTGCTGGTCAGGAGGCCTGACACACCTGATTTATGGGCTATACATAGCATATAGGCAGAAGGTTTCTGCAGGGTTCTGGTTAAGATATGCCAAGTGTCTTGTGTTGGAAGAGGAATTTGAGTTTACACTCTGGTTCAAAGACAGAATGGTGCAGGAACAACCTATTGAAGTATGGACCAGAACAGATAGGTCCTTTCCCAGCCTCCGTGCCCTACTTAGTCACCTCTTGTTTTCTCTCTTTCCACTATATTGTAACTGCCTGGACATACCACTTAAAGAAGGTGCCCAAAGTATCCATGTTATCCCTCAAAAATCAGCTCAGCAGTTAAAAAATTATTCCAGGAGATGGAGGAGGCATGTTGGCTTTGTGGGCAAACCCTACTTGGCTTTCACAATGCTACATCTTCCTCTGCTGTTTTGGAGCAGCTGCACTCATGTTTGAAGAGTTGTTGAAAGTCCTTTTGTCTTAGTGGAGTTTTGGGGCTGAGGAGGTGCCTCTCTCACAGCCTGATGCAGGAGGTGGCAGTGGTGGAAGTCCAGGTATCTTGATAGACTCAGCTCCCAGTAATTCTGTGTGCTTACAAAGAAGTCTGAGGGAATCAGATCCATTTTGGGGTAACCATGCCTGAGAAGTATAATTTTAAAGGCCTTTGCATCAAGGCACCTTAGGGGTGATGGAGAGCCATGTCTGCCCTGGGCTGTGGGAACAAATGGCTCCTGTACTTCTGCTGATCCAAAATGGGTCACAAAAAACTGGTCAAAAACTTTGTTTTTTAAGTCACAAAGCAATTGCAACACACCATCATCTGAGATGTAAAACTACCTTACAGAAAGCAGTTCAGATGCCCAGCTTTTGTTTTTTGAGGATGTTAAGAAAACCTGCAAAATATAGTTAGCACTTTTGGTGTTCTTGGGCACGGTGATCCATGGCTGAGCAGTGACTGGAGCAAACTGGCGGTTTCTTTGGGTTTGTGCAGGTTTCCCACTGCATGATTTTGCTTGCTTTTTGGGGCAGCTCTTGGTTTGAAGAAAACTTGCCTTTAAGAGTTGAAGCAGAGCTGTTTGTTTTTTGATCTATTGTATTTCTATTCAGAGCATCAGTGCAGACAGACAACCAAAATGTGTGGGGTTTGAGTGGTATATTCTGCTGCCTTTAGAGACTGTGGAGGGCTGAATTTAGTCAAAGTGTTGCTTATTTTCCTCTGTTACTAGTCTGCACTGATGCTCTGAACTGCATCAAAATAGATTGAAAAACAAATTGGTGTGCCCTGGTTCCTTGTGCTGGATTTCACATTATCCTCTGGGTGAGCTGCCTGCTCTGCCCCTTTGGAGCACCCCAGAGACAAGTAATGACCCCTCAGCCTCTTCCAGCACTTCAAAGGCTGAATTACTTTTTGTGGGAGAGGTAAGAAAATTGAATTGCAGTCCTTGATTTTCTGGCTTTCCAATAACCTTCAGTGTAAGATCATCATCTTGGTAACAAGAAAACAGGAAACTGGTAAACAGCCGCAGAAAGTATTCAGATTGTGATTTAAGGCTGTCTCTGCTCTTAACTCCCCAGAGCTAAAAATAGAATATTGCCCCCTCACTCAGAGGCCGCTGTCATTCCCAAGGGACTGCAGGCCTGAGCAACACAAGAGATGTATCCCAGCTTTCTATCCTACTTCGTTCACTGATTTCCGTGAGGATTGTGAAATGAGCCTTTGATTGAGTGCAAATGGGCTGGAATGTGGTGAGTTCTTCTCACCAGGCAGGGAGCCTTCCTGGGCTGGCAACCACTCTCCTGCAACGACCACTTCGGATTTTAGCTCCCCAAGCAGAGAGCTGAGTGTGGGGAACAGGAGGGTTGTGGGAGTGCTCCTGTAAGCCCCTCTGATCAGCTCCGACAGAAAAGCTGGATACTTCCATTTTGCTTATCTCTTTCTGTCCACTTTTTCCCCCTGCCTTCTTAGTTTTAGGACTATAGTTATAGTTATATATATATATAGACTATAGGACTATAGTTATAGGACTCCCTGTCTTATAGTTTTGCACTGGGTGTGCAGGATGATTTTATATAGCTTCATTATCCATGTGAGCACTGCAGGTTCCCTGTCTCTGCATGGCTGCAGCAGAGCAGTAGGCTGTGGGTCTGTGCCACACAGAGCTAGTATGCTTGGACAGCCTCACCATTTGGCAGTGAGGCAATAGGTGTTGGGTCTTTAACCTTCTTTTTTCTTTCTTTCTTTTTTTTTTTTTTTTTAAGCTACAAAAAGCCTACTCCATGTGCATCTCTGGTGAGAATTTCAGGCATAGAATACATCCTCAAGCTAGTCACTGAGATGAATACAGGAAGAGCTTTTGTTGTTACTAATGACAGCAGCTGTGTTGACCACACCTTGTAAAAGTCCTTAATTATATAGCAAGGGATATACAGAATCCTTTTGCTTAAACTTTAGAGGCATTACAACTCTTTCTGTGCCTTGTGATGGATGTTCTGAAGGTGTGGGTAAAGTGGCAGCAGAAACTGTGAGGGAGGGATGGTCTCATCCGTGCACCTTTGGAGCACCTGTCTCTGTAGAGTCTGATGGCTAAAGTGCTTGGTCCTAAATTTCAATTATCTTTTGATGAACCTGGTGATGTGCATGGCTTTTGAATCTGTTGGATCTAGATGCAAGTAATTATATGAATAATGAAGAGAAGTGTTTTAATTTGGGCACACTATTCAGTTTTGGATAGAATTTCCTCTTTCATTCTTCCTTCAACTTCCCCCAAGAAAGAAAGGTCATTGCTATTGAGAGATCTTTTTCCAGTTCTAATGTAGTTTAAAGAAAACAACATGATAGCCTCAAACTGTGGAGGTGTGGGACAACAGAAATAAGTGGAAAAAGGGCATAAAGAGCTGAAACTGGACAGTAGAGGGTGATGTTTTCTGCAAACACGTTCTGGACCTCCAGTACTTCTGCGGTTCAGAAGGAAAAGGGTCGTCTTTGCTGAAGTGGGTGTCCTGAGAGCAGTTGTAGATGACAACTGTTGCTTAAGGGTGTCAAGGGGATATTTATCAACATGTTGTCAAGGAAAGCCTTAGAAATTGTAGGCACTGTTGAAAATTTGGCTTAAATGGATTGATGAGTTTTCCTTCCACTTCATTGGAAGTCAGTGGAAGGAAAACTCCTAAGCCACCTTGGTGCTTCCCCTGGAAAGCTGACAGGAATGAGGCTTAAGATGTCCCCTCAAAGGATTAATTCTGCAAGGCCTGTTGTGCAGCTCCATTGGGCAAATGCCCTGTCTCCTTTGTCCCCCATCTGATTCCAGTGAGTGGTGTTTTGGAGGAGGGCAGTTATCATGTGGCTAATGTGTGAGACAACCCAGGAACAGTCTGCTTAAGCCATGTTTTACCTTAAGTTTGAAGTCCCCAGTGGGGCTGACTCCCAAGAGGAGTCAGAGAAGCAGCTTTAAGCTGAAAAAGTGACAATTGGCTTTTTCCTACCAGTGGAAGGAAGGCAGAGGACGACAGTGCAGGCTCTGTCAGCACTCTGATCGCTGCTGACGTACCAGTTACCTGCTCTCAGAGAGAGATTCCCAGTCCTGCCCAGTTCCCCAGCCAAATCTCCCAAAAGTAACCTAGAGGATGGCTGGGAGACATAGTCACACAAAATTTAACTGTGTGATGGTAGGGGATACTCCACTTAAAAACCAGTTGTCATGACTGGGCTTCTTACTGGAAGAGAGACATTAGTCAAACTGAAGTTACTGAGCCTGGAAATCTGTGATGCACTGATGGATGAGCAATCAGATTGCTGCTGGTGGTCCCCTCTGGCTCTTGGGTCTTCTGGATAAGGTGCAAATGCCTTGGGGCTGGTCTTGGCCAACACCCCTTGTTATAAATGCCTGTTCTCTTTGATGGTACTGGATGGTTTGGGTTCCTATAAATAAAGAAATAAAATGTATTTAAACAAACATGTCTGTGCTAATTACTCAGGACTCATTTTCCAGTGTTCTGAGTTGCTGTAATGAAGAAGGGGACATGCTGGTAGGCTGCTTAGAGCTTCACTGTTTTGAGCTCTCATGAGCAAATATGTCTTCTATATTCCTGCCAGGAATAGAGGGAGCAGACGGTGCTGCTGCTTCCTCCAGCTTGCCACGGTGCAAGCAGTAAGTTTCATGCAGGAGGCTGTTCATGGCAAAATGAGCAGACGTCTCTTCCAGGACATCGATTTCTCCTGCTTATCATTTTGTAGGCAGAGCCGTTGCTATTATTATTTAACCAGCAGACTCAATTTCAACTCAGCTGAAGGACTTCCAGTTGAAATCCTCTGAGGAAGGAGTGGGTGGAATAAAACTGCTATTACATGGAGTCTGGCAAAAGAATCGGGTTTGTCTCTTCTCCCACGACCAGCAGCAACGCTGCTGATGGCAGCTTGGTTCCTTGTGGTTTAAAATGGTGTGGGAGGAGAGCAGAGCCTGCATGTTGGATCGACTGGAAGTACAGGTGGTTGGCCCTGTGCATGGGGCAGGGGGTGGGTCTGGTGCTTGGAAAGATGAGCTGCAGATCAGCCAGCCTTTGGCAGTGATGTGCCTGAAGAAGCTCTGGCTTGTTGGGGTGGGGTGGGGCAGGAGGGTGGGCTATCAGCCCCCACAGTGTTTTCTGCCTTACAGAGAAGGACTCACCATCCCTGTGCTCTTGCTTCAGAAGTACTGAGGAGCATAACACCTCTGCATTGAGGTGATGTCAAAACCATCCGTGATCTTCTGGTGCTTGAAAAACAAGTTTCATAGCACTTCATCTTTAAAGCCTGAGGGAGCTCTTGGCTACACAGGAGAGCTCTCCTGCATTTCTGGTATCTACCAACATTGTTGTTCAGCCTTCTGTATCTCTGGGATAAGGTGATGTCTTTACTCTCTTCTATTCTTCTATTCTCTGTCTTTCCATAGCCACCAAAGGCAGTGCTATGCAGAAGGACAGCTGGGGTCCTGCCTGCCTGTGAACAGCTCAAAAGCTGAGCTCCAGAGGAGTTGGTGCCTTCAAGAAGTGAGATGTCAGCTCAGCCTGCACCCAGCATCTGCTTATGATGTGATTTGGTACAAGGTGGGAGATCCTCTGAGCCTGATTTCATGCGAGGCAGAGCTTTGAGATTGGTGTATGTCCATTGGCTGTTAAAGCTCGTACCCTGGTGAATGGCTATACTAGTCCTGTTATCTGCAAGAAATCAGGAAGCTGAGTGCAAAGATGTTAAACGTTGAAGATCATGTAATTCGTGTCCATCCAAGTGCTCTTTCTCTATTGCTCATACTGTTCCCTTTTGCCTAACATGCCACTGTTAGGCATCCTAGTGTGTAGACAAGGCAGTAATATCTTTATCTTGTCTATCTTAGATAAAAACTCCAGATGACCCAATGATAAAAATTCTGTTAGCAGATGTCCTATCTGTCCTCCCTCCTGCAGTGGGGTGGGAAGGCATAGAGGTTAAAGAGAGGCTTTGGTAGATGGGATTAGGTTTATGGACTTCTACCAAAAATTACATTTTAGAGGAAGAGGTTCATAAATCAATGAGCTGAGACCATGGTGTGCTGAGAAGGGGATGCTGAAGGCCCTGGGCTGCAAGCAGAGTCCTGTCTCTAATGTTCACATGGCCCTGCTCATCTTACCAGTGCTTTGGGGAAGAAAATGAACTGGTCCCAAATCCCTTAGTGCTTTGCAGGTTCAAACTAACACCCCAGATTCTCCTCTGTGGTCTGAACAGGTGTTCATGCCCTGCTTCCTATTGCGGCATGTGTCCGACCGCCAGTGATCTCTCTGACCCGGCTGGCAGCAGAGTGGCTGGAGACGGGCTGCAACGCGTGCTGGAGGATGCAGGCACCCAACGTGGGGCACTGGAGAGCACCAGCCCCCCAGCAAACGTGGGGTACTGAGGACAGCTCAGAGAGATTACCTGTGTGAGGCCCAAGAACACCGCGGGCTTTGGTACTCGGGAGCGAGGTTTTGTGAGGATCAGCAGAGAAGAGAGGGGATGTAAGCTTTCAATTTTAAGTCTTGCTTTCATTTAAAAGCTGCCAAAGAAGACCCTAAAACCATTACATCAACATTTTAAGATAAAAATAATCAATCCCCACTCCCCTCTAGAATTTTTCTTAAATTTAATTGATTTCTTTTGAGATGCATTTATTGTGTTGTTGTTTTGTTACGTGGTCGTCATGCTGAGAGATTATTTTTCATTTCAATAAGGTAATCATTTAAATTTTAGTTTTGATTGTGCAATATTTAACAGACTTCCTTTCCTGGTTTTTGCATTATGCCCCCCATGTCCCTGAACCCACTGACCCTGAGAACAGAATGGGAGATGGAATCTGCCATCTCCCCTCCTTTTTTGTGGCCATGCTGTCCTGGGTAGGGGACAGAAAAGGAGGGGAGATTGGCCATTCTACCCTAACCACTTTCCGTCAGCCCTCAACCCTACCCCCACTTTCCTACTATATTTAATTGGCAGTTCCTGATTTTCGTTATAATTCATGTTGCAGAGATTGCTGTTATTTCCTGTTTAGTTATGTGGGTGACCCTCGGAGTTAGGCCAGTTGACGCATTTGTTTATTTATTTAACTTTGCAGCATGAACCCACCTGTTTAGTGGGTTCACCTGTTAAACTTTATTTACAGTATTCTATGTATTTTTGTTCTCAATTTAGTTAAATTGATTATAAAGTCCATTAAGTAGAGTGTCATTTTAGTTCAAATACGACTGTTATACTTTTCATTTTAAATGAAAGAAGAGGGGGGAGTTGTGCAAGTTTGTCCTGGAAGGGATGGGCGAGGGACTGGCCACACAGCCACAACCCAACATCAGGCCTCAAGAAGGAAGAAACCACAACTGATGACATCCAAGCAGCTTATGGTGAGGAGAAAAGGACTTGCAAAGGACTCTAGGACCAGTTGGTAGTGGCCATGCAGATCAGCAGCCCATGACTGGCCAGAAGGCTTCTAGAACATTCTGAGAGACTACATTCTATGAGAGACTATACATATGCATGTTGGCCTCACTTCGATGTCTTCTGAAGCAGCCCCTTTATGTTTTGTTTTGCACCCATGTTTACGCCCTTTTATTTATTTAATAAATATCTTCAGTTTTGGCATTTCAGCTGTACCTGTCCCTTCCTTGTTGCTGTGCCACTTGACCACACCATCGTTGAGCTCCCGGGACCAGAGGGTTTCCCCACATGCCCCACAGATCCCTGGGGGTGTTGTTGCCAGCCCGTCTCCAGCCGCTCCGCTGCCAGCTGGGTCAGGGAACACTGGCGGTCTGACACGCACCACAACAGCTTCCCTGCCTGCCCTTTCAGAAACCAGCTGCTGAATTCAACATCAGCTCCAGCCCCTGGCTGCAGGCACAGCCTGGCACTGCAGTGCCTGCTCTGATGGGCACTCACACCTCCATGAGATGTATGGCACATCAGAGAGGCTCTACTCCTTTTTTTATAGCTCCTGGGACTCAGTACTCAGTCCATATCTGCTCATTTAGGTCTGAACACTATCTAGACTCTTCATGTGTCAGAGTAAGTTGCTGAATTTGAGGAGTGTGAGTTCAGAATGAGGATCTTGCCGTAACCAAAGAATTGAAGCATTGTAAACTACTAAAATGTGTAAAATGAAAAGTAATTTTCTTACTCTTTCTTTCTGTTTTGTAGAGAGAAATGCTACCAGGATCCATTTCCTTTTCATTATTTGAGCTTTGTAAAAGCAGTGTGGAGGCCAAGGCAAGAGGAGGCCAGTAGGAGCTCCCCAGATATGGCTGGAGTTGCTGCCCTGGTTGTACACTCTCTGCAAGGAGCAGTCCTTCTGTGACTGCACCATCTTCATTGGGAATGTGCATTTTAGAATGCTCAAAATGGTTTTGGCTCTTGCCAGCCTGCTGTTTAAATCCGTGTTGGACAGCACAGATACCATCTCCAATTGATGCTTCTGTGGTAACACCTTAGGAGTTTCCACTCTTACTTGAGATTATGTACAATGGCAAACTCTCACTGAGGAAACACAATTTCACCAAAGTAATCTCTGTGGCAGATAGTCTGCAGATGTTTGATGTGGCTGTTAGTTGCAAAAACCTCCTCAGGGATCTCATAAGTTGTTCTGCTCAGGACCAGGTAGTAAAAGGAATCTTCAGCCAGGAAGAAGATTCATCTGGAAACCAAGCTGAAGCTAATTACCTGCCCCAGTCTGGAAGACCTGATGAAGAAAGAGCATTCATCATCCTCATTCAGAGAGTTTCTCCTTTACCCTGTAGAAGCAGAAATGGAAGCAGGTGCTTCTCCTCCTGGCTAGGAGCTTACTGTGAATCACACCTGGGTTCATCAGGACACAATGCCAAGTGAGTCCAGGTCCCTCTGGGAGGATTCAGGCTCTGGCCCTGACCAGCCTGAGTGGAGTGGCTGTATGGAACAGGAGCTTGCTGAGCTGCCAGAGGGGAAAGGGCGATCGAGGGATTTACGTGAGATGTCATGGGTCTGGACACACCATCACCTCTTATTTGCAACACGTTGGCTCACATTTGCCTGTTTTGGGGTAATTTTTACTCTCTGTTTAATATTTTTAGTTTGTCCTGGGTTGGGAGCTACAGCAACATATCCTGTTCTGCAGAGATTTTTTTTCTTTGACTTTTGTAGTTGCTTCATGCTCATTGTTTTGCCAGAGCTGTAGTGAGCAAAACTTGTATTGGCCAGACGTGATTGCCACACAGTGGGATCTGTGTTACTGCAGGACATAGGGCTGATTAGACAATCTGTCTAACAGCAAGTGAACAGAGTTGCTTGCTAATGCTACCTTATCCTTTAAACTCCTATTCAGGATGGGAGGAAAACAGAGGCTGTACTGGGTTTAAAATAAATGTTCCATTTATAACTGGTGTTAAATAAACTGTTGGTTTTCCCTCCAGGCTTTGTCATGTCTTCAGAAGGGATTTATAAGTCACAGTTTTCCTTTTATAGCCAATGTGCTGGTTACAAACTGATGCCTTTCAATCACATAATGCTTTCTGCGAATCCATTCAATTAGCAAATAACTAATCTTGTTTCTCTCGCACAGCAGCAGAGAGCAAAAGCTGTAAAAAGGATTTCTTTGTTTGATCTGAAAATGTTTTCTCTGAGACTCTTTCTGATGCCCAGGCTGTGCTGAAAAGACTCCAAGAGTGCAGAGAAATTGATGCCTCTCAAAAGGAGGTAGGTGTGTTTACTTCCATAAATCATGCAAGTTTTTTCTTCACCCTGCGAAGGGCTGTAATATTTTGTGCCTTGTTTAGGAAATTGTTTCATGGGAACTGCTGCCTGGTTGTTTGAAGGACAACATGTGTGCACCTGAGAGAAGCATCTGTAAATGCAAGTTGCTGAGGCATGCAGGTAAAGAAGTATGTCCTGCCCTGAAGACATCCTTGTGTTGTAGGAGAGCTCCAGCACAGATTTCTCTTCTCCTGTTTTTGGCATATGCTTCAGGAATTGTATCGACTTGTAAATGGCTGACATATGAGATCCTAAAATAGATTTCCTGAGCCCTCAGCACTGTCTTGCTTTAAAGCATCTGTTTCACTCTGCACGGCAGAGCTGCTGAGGGAGGAGTGGGACAGGGTGTGACAGGGGGAGCTGGGAACTGCCCCATGGTGCTTCTCCTGCCAGCGTGCTGATTTAAGAGCAGTCAGAGTTGGTAAACCCTGCTTGATTCTTGTTGGAGGGGTTAACTGAGCTGGGTGTATGCTGAGGGGTTCTCTGGGCTCTGAGCTGTGGTAGCCAGATGCCACTCATTGCCCCAGCTCGAGGGCAACACAGAAGCAGAATGTGATGTCTGTACTGGTGTGACAGTGGAGCAGGAGGACACAGAGCTTGTGAATGGTTGTGGTGAGTCTAGGGGGGCACTCGTGCTGGCTGCACACTGCTATGCAGTGGCAGGGGCTGCAGAAAAGCTGTGGCCAGTGTAGAGCAAGGATGGGACTGTGCTTGCTGTTCTCAACCCAGCCATTTCTGGTAGTGCGTTTTAATACCAAGCTGCATGAGCTGTCCTGCACGCCTTTCTGAAGGGGAAAAAGTATTCCTGTTTCACTTTACCATGGTTCGCTGGTTATTCAGCCTTTGGAACAGTGCTGTTCTGTAGGCTGGGGGTTGCCATGCTCTCTGGGTTCCCATGTGGTTGCTGGCTGGAAGCTGTCTGGATTCAAGTCCCTCCAGTAGCAGTGTGTGATCACAGGACATGATATGTTTTTACCATTGTGGCATTCTGCTTATAAAAGCCCAAGACCACATCTTTATTAGAAAAAAAGCCCAAACTTGTGACAGCAGGGAGGAGAATTCCCTTGAGTTGGGGAGTGCAGGATTGTTTTCTGCTGAGCCCTTAAATGTTCATGAAGGGAATCTCGTGTTCCCTAAGCAGCTGGTTCTCCTGATGTTGTGGAATATAACATTTTAGGGGCTTTAGGTGAGAGGTGTGGGTCCTAATCCATATTTGTAGTAGCAAGCACAAGCTCAGCTGGGCAGACAAGCACCTCTGAGTGCCTTCTCAGAGAAGGATTAGATTTTGGTATGTTTGTTTTTCACCATGATCAGATAAGTGTATCAGGTTTAGGGTTTTACCTGTTGTGCACTTTTACGAATGGAGCCGAACTGGGGTGGGTGCTGTGGATCAGTGCTGCCAGAAGGGATCTGGCAGCTCCATGCCCCCATGCCAGCTGGCCCTGTTCCTGCCTCCCCTTTCTGCTGGTGCCAGGGCAGAGCTGTGCTGGCGGAGTGCCCAGGCAGGTGTGCTGCAGCTTCTGCACTGCACAACAGCCCTGCTTGCTATTGCTTTGCTGTCGCTGCCGTTTCGTGTTCCTTCACCACTTCAGATCCATTAGGGAAGGTTTACATTCCTGGCCTTTTGTGCTCTCAAATGAGCTGTTACAGCAGGAGCCGAGGGAGAGGTTGTGGAGCTCAGAGCCAGTTTGGGTGTCTGACTGCAGAGTGGTAGCTGGACAATTTTTCTGCAGCTATAAATAAGTGCTGAATAAATGAAAAATGGATTTTCTTTAAGGCTTCCTGAAAAATCACTTTTCAGCTGTGACAAGCATGAAGTGTCAGCCTCAGGGCAGTGGGAGAACAGGCTGCAGCCTGTTATAAGCAAGGGCTCAGCCAGACCTGTCCCTCTCTGAGCTTCCCTCTGGGACCAGCAGGACCTGTGGACCTTAGCACTGAGTCTGTTTCCAGCGCACAGAGCAGCTTTTCCCCACAAGAGCCCGGTGTTTCCTTTGGGGGAAACCACAGCAGTGTATTTTTAAAGTCATGCTTGAAGTGCAAGTTCAGCTCCAAAGAGCTGAACTGGGATGTGTAACTCAGGCTGAGGTTGTGCCAGGGGTAGATGTCAATGGATTTTTCTTCTCTCATTTTTTTCCCCCCTCCCTTTCTTTGTATTCTTTTGCTAGTCATTTGTTTGAAGTCTGAGTGCCTTGGGGCAAGTAAAAGTGTGTCTGGAAGCCGGTGAGACGCTGTTTCTGTGTCGAAGGCATTCTTGCTGGGTGTGCTTGCCCTCCTGCAGGGGAGATCTCCCATTCCGTGGGAGTATTCTCTCGGGAGCCTTTTGGAAGCAGCTGACCTCTAGGAAAGCACCAGTTATTTTGGGCAGTAAAGCCTGGGCAGCACAGAATTTTAGGGGAGTTTTGTCAGACTGCCTATTGGCACTAAGGCTGTCCTGATTCTGTGGTTTTAGTGGAATTTGGCCTTGGATGCCTCTCTATTTATTTTCCTTTGCTGGTGAACTCATCCCTGCATGATATCTTGTTCTGTGCAGCACTCTGGTCTGCTCCCCTCTACTGTTCCTGCCTATTTCCTCCTACCTCCAGTGGAGACTCCTTTGGTTGTGAGGTTTTTCCCCAACAAAGTTTGTGGTGTGGGCTGGCTTTGGTGAGAACTATTGCTTCTCTCTGAGTTTGATATTCTGTTCTGCTCCCCAGACTGAAAAATGCAGATGAATTGCTTTTCAGTTTAGGGAGATGTGATTTTTGGGGTTGTTTCTGTTTTATAGTTTCTCTGTATATTTCACATAAACTATTCCTATCTAATTTGGTTTTGGCTTGGATGAAACCTGCTTGGAAACGAGAACAAGACTGAAATTGCAGTAATTTAGGGAAGCGTAGAAGAGCTTTGCTGATGTCAAGTCTTATCTTCCTGTGCTCTCTTAGAGAAACTCAATTCAAATTATTGCACAGCTCATTTGTTCCCTCTACTACCAGGTTTAGATGAAGAGGGGGAGCGTTGATTCTCCCAGGTAGAATAAATGTCACTGTGTTTGTGGATCATTTCCATTGCCTGTGGGCCTGTCCAGTCATTGTCGCCCTTCATTTGCAGCTGCAGAGATTTCTGGATGAGGCAGAAGAAAGAAGTTTCCTGTTACCTTCTGCATTCTGATTAGGGGAAAGAGCTTGTGATGATTTGGTGGTTTTTTCATGGTGGCAGAGCTAGAGAACTTTTTTTCCTGTGTTCTGGTAAATTTTTGTAGAAGTTTGGGCTCAGCTTTTGTTCTTGTTGTGTGGATCAAGCAGGGGGTCAGTGTTTTCCACAGAGCCTTCCTGGGATCTCCCTAATGAGTCATGTACAGATGCAGGCTTGAAAAAAAAAATCCCTTTAGGTTTCTGAAGGAAAAACATGAACATAGTTTTTCTCTGATTATTGTATGCACAATACAATAGTTGATTGATGGTTGACTGACTTAATGGCAGGGTCACAGCCCTCTGAGGGTGAGGTGTGTGGAGCCAGTCCTGAGGTTGTCCACGCTGCTGACCCTGTGAGCAGCAGCAGCAGCCTATGGAACAGGGCTGCTCAACTTCCAAAGGTTGGATAACCGTGGCGCCACGGAAGAGCCAGCAGTGAAACAGTCCCTAACCCTGCAGATTTCCAATCACTTTTTTATATTTTCATCACCACCTCTACATCAAAACCCAAAGCAGTGTGCATTTACAGAGGAGTGATGATTATGGCTATGGAAGTTTCCCCACAGTGCCTGACCTCCTGCAGTGTACCTGAGTGTCCCTCAGCTCTGAAGGGAGTCAGCTTTTTTTGCCACCCTGAGCTGGTGCTTCCTAATCTGTCTCTTGCAGATCCCTACCCACCATCCTCTGGATGCTTGCATTCACTCTAAAGCTGATGTTTGAAGGAGATCACTCAGAAATAGTCAATAAAGTGGCTTTTTGCTGGGATGTGCTCTCATGGTGGGAGCAGGAGCATGGATAAGGCATGAAAAGCCATAACTGTGCTCACCCACCTGCAGACAAGAGTTAATGGCCAGCTGGGCTAATGACTGCTGCATGCCCTCCCTCTCTCCTCACATCCCTCTTTAGTCTCAGTTATGGGCCATTGCACATTGCTCAGGGGGGGTGTACATTATTTGCACATGTGGTTGAGATCTCTGGAAAAACATGGAAGTGTGGAGATGCTATGGAGACAGGAGACCTACCTCCTGGATCTTTAACCTGCAGAGGTTAAGCTGTTCAGAGCTTGCCATGGGGCTGCTGGGGTCATGGGCATGTTGGAGATGAGCTGGGAAGGCTGTTCCATGGTGTGTGATGTGTTCCATGGTGCTGAGGTGGGAGTGTTTTGGCCACCAGAACTGCTATCCCCAATGGGGACCAAACCTCTGGAGTGCCATGGAATCTGTTTGGTGGCACAGCTCTGACGATGCTTAAGCCAGGTCTTGGTGATGCATTTTCCTGGTGCAGAAGGCAGTCTCTTCCTCCCAAGTGGAAGATGGATGTTTACTAATTTGTGCCAACTTGGCCCTGAAGAGTTTTGCAGTGTCCCAGGCAGTGAAAGCCTGGTGGATCAGGCTGTAATGTGGAGGCACATTATGACTAAGTGGAAGCTGGGATTCCTGCTGGTATCAGTATTTCTCCATTTTTTCCCCAGGATCTTTGGGAATTGTTCGTGCTTTGATGTAAGTCTGAAGTATACTGTGTGCTCTTTCACAACAATGCTAAAAGGCTGTTGTTCCCACTGAGCAACTTGTCTAAGGAAATGTCTTCTGGCAAGAACCTATAAACAGCAGAATATTTCAGTTACTGAAAACTCATTTCTATTAACCAAATCCATGTGCTGAGGAAGGGATGTTACCTGGAGCTCAGGGTAGCAATGCTGTGCTGAGTTTAATTAAACATCCCTAAAATTGAAAAATATATTGCAACAATGCAAGTTACTTTTCATCCATATTAGTGCAAACATGGATTTGGCAGGATATGAAAACCTTTAAGGTGGTGAGAGCGGAGATACTTTGTGTTTTACATGCTCATTTTGATCTGGAAGGGGCTAGGCAAGCAAACCTTGAGAACAAACATGATCTGGTTATCAAGTCTCATTACAAATTAATGTTGCATTTAAAAAATACCTTTACGTTTGTTCTTCAGCACATCTGTGTTTTCTTTACACCAGAGCCCTTCACGTCCACACTCTGTTTGGCAGGCAGGCAAGCTGCTGTGTGTGGGCAGAGCTGGGGCTGCTGCAGTTTCCCCTCTGCGGAGTCGTTGCAATAGGTCATTGCACTGCCACACTGCCCTAATGTGTGACCATTTACACCTGCTAGGAAAAGCCAGCCCACCGGCTGGTGTGGCCACAAGCAGTTGCATACAGGCTTTTTATCATCTGAATAAAAAATGACAATGACAGCAGAAAATGGCCATTCTCCCTGGAGTGGAGCTGAACTTCCCACTTCAAAGGTACCTTTATCGAATCCCTGGAGTCTCCAATAAAGGCTGCCTGCTCCGAAAGGCTGGCATCTCTCCTGGAGAGTTGGGGAGCATGAGTCTTCAGGGGCAATATTTACAGCATTAAAGGACTCTGGGGAAATGGGAGTAAGAGTTTCAGCTTATTTCTCTGCCTTTTATTTCCATAGCTGTACAAGCACATCTCCCTCTGATTGCTGTTTCAGGTCACTGAAGTAGATTTTGGAGCTCTGGGTTTGGTTGCCAGGTGTGCTGAGAACCCACAGCACTCAGAGTTTATGTGCCTCCTCTCCAGAGTTTTCTCTAGGAGACAGAATTCCATTGTGGTTGAGAATGGAGATTCCTGAACGTTCCGCTTGAAATGGTCTCTGCTTTCTGTCCTAGCTTTGCCTTCCAAAGTAGCAGTGTTAAATTCATGCTTTATCAGGTCTTTTACACTTCGTGGTCTTTGGCTAGTTGGACATGAAGAAACGTTTGGTGCTGGAACCAGCTCCAGTTTATGGGATTTGCTATATGGATAAGGGCTGGCAGCAGGGCTTGTTGCCCTGGTTCCCAGGGTGAGTGGCCACAGGCCAGAGTTTGCATTCAGTGGTATGTGTGTGTGGTTATTTTTTTGTTCCGTTTAATTTTTTGTCCCCTGACCTAGACTCCAGGGTTCTGCCTGTTGTGTCAGTCTGTATAGGGTAGTTGACTCTGCTCTCTAAATCTTCCTGCATTTCTGTTCTGCTGTAGGCTCTGGTTGCTCTGGCCAAGGCAGAGGATCATTCAGTGTTCAGGAAGCTGCTGGGCAAAGTTAAGGATGCTCACACCCAGGATAGTGACACTTGGGATGCTCAGCCCCTGGACACTCAGACCCTTGTGTCTTTTCTGAAGCTGTGTCAAGACATAAATCCTGAGCTGAGGGTGGCTTTGCTGGAGAGGGAACAGGGCAGTGCAGAAGCCCCACAGTAACCAGGTAGCAAATTGGGTGCAGGTAACACCCAAGCAGGTAGGAAATTGTGAAAGTGAGGAGGTAACATTACAGAGAAACCCTGTATCTGGATGTGGGAGGTTTATTATGTGCTGGCCAAGATCCTGGAGCATTTCTGCCTGTAGCAGGAGGTGTAGCTGTGCAGGGCTCTCCCCACTGCTGCCTGGAGGGCTGGATTGATGGCTGGCAGCCAGTGTGAGTACAGCTGAGGGTTGGGGTTGAAAACTTCTTTTTTACTTGAGTTTGACACAAAACAGTGGCCTTGCAAACCTGGTGTTAACTTCCAGCTTGCTTTATGGCTTTGTGCTCTGTTAGATAAATGAGACATTTTCCTTTCACAGAGTTTAAAGAGAATAGTAAAGTGATTTTCCTCTGCTGCTTGTGCTTGGGATGAGCTTTGCTATTCACTTAGATCTTTCAGAAAGTCTCCCTTGCTTCAGGAACCTGTCAGTTTCTTCAGACAGACTTATTTCTTCTCTTGTGTTTCTGAATCTTTTTCCCCCCAGAGAGCATAGCTGATGAAGAGACGCTGACCGCTCGCTTGCTGTGCTGCAGGGAGGAGCTGATCCAGAGCGTGGCACAGCTGAGCCCCATCAGAGAGTTTTGGAGACAGAAGCAGGATTCCTGACTGCCTCAGAGAAGCAGGTAAAAAAATCTGAAATAGGCAAACTGTGTGGACAGGGTGGGCTGTGTGTGTCTTCAAGGTAGCATCATACACATAGTTTACCAAATGATGGGCAAGCCTCACCTGGCACTTCTCCCTGCCTTCTGCACAGCATGGACTGCACGTGTGTGTTCTCAGGTCCTTCTGTGCTGGACTGTGGGAATAGTGACAACTGAGCAGTGAAGGCAACCTGGAGAGCAGGATGAGTGTCAGACTACCCCTGCAAGGGGAGCCTGGGCCAGAGGAGGTACCTAGTACTCCTCATGCCCTGAAAAAGCCTTTTTGGGAGCAAGGACAAGGTTGTGTAGGGGAGTTTGACCAGAACAACTAACCACCTCTCTGCTACCTGCTTGTCAGTTCCTGGTCATCAGCTTCCCTTTCAGCTGTCTCCCACCTTTCTGTCATTTTTGCAACTCTTATCACACAGTTGCCTGTAACATCTACTAGAGCATCTACTAAATAATTTGGTTTTATTTCTTATGTGCTGCAGGCAGCAGTTGGTGGGGAGGACTGTTGCTTTCCTTTTCTGTAAGCAACTGCACTCTGTATGCTGATTTGCAGAAGTCATAAAGGACAAAATGCTGTTTATAACCTGCTTTCCTTTGCCTTTGAGGGGAGCTAGCTGTACCCTGTGCAGCTGGAAATTACAGGGTGCCCTCACAAGCTGTGATCAGGATGCAGCTTGACCTCCTGTCCTAGTTTGTCACATCATTCAGCTCCCCTGACACAGGATTATAGTAAGTGGAAACTTGTGCTCAGTGGCATGAATGATCTCTGCTTTCTGTCTGAGTAAGCCTGACCAGAGCCACAACAGGTGGGCTGGGAACTTCGGCCCAGCTCATAAGCCCCTCAATTAAGGTCTCATGGTCCCTCACCACATCCAGCATGGAGAATTCCTGAGAACAGGCACAGATTGGAATAGGGTACCTAAAAAGGTATTGCCAACAGAGGCATCTGTCCTGTCTTTGTGGGCTGGGGTATGACTGGGATGTGACTGGTGTCTGATGAATTTTTGCCTCTGAAAGCACACAGCTGAATCTGGAATGGAGATGTTGGAAGAGAGAGCAGGGTGTAAGTATAGCAAAGGAGTTGGCATCTGCTAGGGCATTGTGGCTGTCAGCAGAGACCCGTGTTGGGGGCCTGGAGCTGAAGCTTCATCGGCAGTGGGGAGATTAGGATCTTCATATATGCCTGTTCCTGTTGCAGTGCAGCCTTTCTTTTAAAGGCTTCACTTTTTCCCTGCTCACTTCTCTTTGTCTTCATAGAATTAAGTGGTTAAAATCCAGCAATTCTTTTTCTCCCTTCACATTGAAAAAACTAAACACAACACCCCAAGAGTAAACCAAAACCATTCTGCAATCATAATTCTGCTTCTTGGGAATAGGATACAGCCTGTAACTGCATCATCATGTACTGCCGAGCTCCTGCTTCGTTTGGTGGAGGAACAGCGTTTCTTTTCCTTCTCACCAGTCACTGTCTGCTCCGTTTGCTACAGAGCCCCCAAACCCTGCTCCAAATATGAAATCCTGCTCCTCTCTATGGGATCCCTTCATGCTCTTGTTTCAGTCCACAGTTTCCATGAAATGACAGATCTGTTTGGGAAGCACTCCAGTGAGGCTGTGGGCAGAGCTCTGTCCTGCTGCAGCACAAGAAAACAAGACAGAAATGGCCAAGCGTAGATTGACCTTGGGGGGTTTATTTGTTTAATTCCACCCCTTCTTCCCCAGACAAGTGGGAAAGTGTTTAATTATTCCAGAAGTTAAACTGATAAAAATAATGGGCCCATGGCATGTATGCAAGTGGAATCCCCAGTGTCTCAGATGTAGGACTGGGAAAGCAAACATGGAATTAGCAGCCACCCCTGAAGGTTTTGTCTTATCTGGTTTATCCACTGTTGCACTGGAGCTCTGGGCTGGCAGGGATGGGGTCTAGTTCTCCAGAGGTTCATAAAGATGAGGCTTTCCTTTTTCTTCTCACTATCACTGTGTCATTAGCTACACACTTATTCAGCAAGACAAATAGAGTTTCTCATGGAACAGCCTTTTTTCATGGCAACAGGATTCTTTCTGTACTTGGTCCGAGCTGTGCAATGGAGCAAGTTTGATTTTCTTTGCTGGAAAACCAGTACATGATATTTTGTGAAACATCTTTGTAAATCTCTGTTTTTTCTGGGTAACTTTTGAATTTAGCCTTTCTGTTTTTTGAGTGCTTAACTTCTGTGGCTTTTTTGGTGTTTCTGTAATTGGGAAGGGACAGAGGATTTGGATACAGGTTATCACTTAAGAGAAATGAAGCAGATACAGAGTGGGTAACTTCTCCTGCATGGTGCATCACACCGCTTAGTTTGTTTCAGAGTTCAGTGATCATTCCACAATACAGCACTGAACCCAGAAAATCAGAGTAGGTAGTAGAAACATCAGCCTTTTCCTTCTGTTTAGGCTGTCTTCTAGAAGGCAACTGGGTATTCTGAGCTATGTGGTTTCTCTCCCTTTTGACTCCAGTGCCTGCAGACCTTGATGCTCAAACCAAGCTGCTTCAGAGCTCAGACAGGTATTAGGGATAGTGCAAGCAGGTTGTTTGCCACTGCAGGAATTTTAACTAGTTACACTGGGAATGGAAAAATCCTATTGCAAGCAGAACTGGGGGCCGTTTTCTAATTGTCTCACCTGGTGGTGTCAAAATAAGTCTTAAAATGTCATTGCTGCATCTCCCACTGCCAAGGACATTTCTTCTGCTTGGGAGCAGTGGTAGGTTACTGCAGGAGCTCCCTGAAGGATGCTGCTCTTGTACCTCTTCCTGTGTTTTCTCAGAAGAGGACTTCAGACTAAGGGATCTAGAGGCAGGTCAGTGTGAATTAAAGAGGAAAATACCTCAGCAGGTTCACTAGCAGAGTTTGGTCTATAAAAGGACGGATCTTTAGAAATGAGAGAAACTAATTAAGGAGTTCAGGTGCTCATTAGAGCGCAGGAGGAGCTGTTGGATTAGTTTCTTTTATGTTTAAAGTAGGGGAACTGTCTGAAGTTTGCATCCTGAATGTGAGAGAGAAGGTCTTATATGAGAGGTTATATACCTGAGTGAGTGAATAACTTGAGGAAGAGCTTTAGGAAGTTCAGGGAATGGCTGAAATGTCTGACAGACACACAAATGTACTGTGGAGCTATGGAGAAGCTTGTGGCACATCAGGCTGCTGGACATCACAGCAGATATTGTCTGACCAAGAAAAAAATAAAGACAGGAGATGACCTTGGAAATTCATGGTTTAGCTTGGAGCCTGATCTAGGAGAAACACAGAAACACAAATTTCCTGCAGGTAAAGGAAAATCACAACTCAAATGACATCCCTCAACAATCCATTAGGACCAATCTGAAAGCCTTCTATGATGGCAAGGCAGGATGGGTTGGCGAGGGGAGAGCAGTGGATGGTGTCTACCTCAGCTTCATCAAGGCTTTTGATACTGCAACATGCTCATAGGTATGCTCAGGCAATGTGGGTTGGATAAATGGACTGTAAGATGGATCAAGAACTGGCAGAATGGCAGAGAGTTGTGAACAGTGGAATAGAATCCAGCTGGGGGTCTATAGTGAGTGGCATTCTCCAGGAATCAATACTTATTCAACTTATTTATCAATGCCCTGGATGAAAGGATAGGTTTGGTGATGATACAGAACTGGAGGGAGTGACTGATATACCTGAAGGCTGAGCTGCCTTCCAGCAGGACCTTGATAGGCTGGAGAACTGGGAGGAGAGAAACTGAATGAAGTTCAGTAAGGGCAGTGTAGGGTCCTGCACCTGGGGAGGGATAATCCCTAGTACCAGAACAGCTTGGGGGCTGAATAACTGGAGAGCATCTCTGCTGAAAAGGCCCTGGGATCTTGGTGTGTGACAAGCTGTCTGTGAACTGGCAGTGTGTCCTCTCAGCCAGGAGGGTCAGTTGGATCCTGGGGGGCACTGGGAAGACTGTGACCAGGTCAAGGGAGGTCATCCTGCCCTTCCACTTGTCCCTGGTGAGGAGCACCTGGAATGCTGTGTCTGGTTCTGCCCAAGAAGGACCAAGGGGGCTACTGGAGAGGGTCCAGCAGAAGCTACAAAGGTGATGAGTGGCCTGCAGCATTTCTCTTTTGAGGAGAGACTGTAGGAGCTGGACCTGGATAGTGTGGAGAAGACTGAGAATGGATCATTAATGCATACAAATATCTCAAAGGAAGATGCCAAGAGGATGGTGCCAGACTGTTCAGTGCTGCCCAGTGACAGAGCAAGTAGCAATGGCCAGAAAATAAAACATAAGAAGCTCCACCTCAACATGAGGAAGAACTTCTTTTCACTGAGGGTGGCAGACAACTGGAACTGGCTGCCCAGGGAGGGTGTGGAGTCTCCCTCTCTCTGGAGACAGTCCAAATCCCCCTGGACGAGTTCCTGTGTCACCTGCTCTGGGTGATCCTGCCACGACAGGGGGCTTGAACTAAATGATCTCCAGAGGTCACTTCCAACAATAACTATTCTATGATTCTGTGAACAGATGGGAAGAACTGACACCTGTGCTATGCAAGTGACAGAAGGCTTCTTATTGTTCTCCAAGCTCAGAGTGGTCCCAACAGTTGATGAGCATGACCAGACATTTCGGAGAGAAAGGCAGTGATCTGAGCTCTTTGGGACAGGCAGGAGAGCACATGTAGGTGAAACTTGTAAGGAAAAAAGTAAAAAAAAAAATGGGGAGAAAATGCAGTAAAGGATATTGTCCTGTTCTGCTATACAAGGGGGAGGATTCTTCTGATAGATTTCTTGGACTAAAATAAAGTACAAATGCAACAGTATATCTGAGAACTGTTTATTGATAAAAAAGGTTAAGTGTTCCTACTAACATAGGGGGGATAGGAAATGGAGCAGGGAGAGGAAAAGAGAGAAGGAGAAAGAAACAGAAGACAGGGACAGCATTACCACAAGAACCCAGGTGGTCTGTCGGCATCAGCTTAGCAGGCAGAGCGCGTGTGCTGTGAACCGCGTTGCACCTCCGTAGCTCCTCTGGTGGGCCAGGCACGATTTCCGAACAGTAGCAGACTGCGTGTTCCTTCCGTCGGGACGAGCGGACTGCCGCGGCCTCG